GGGGGGATCTTCCCTTTAGTTGGCCAAAGTTCATTTCATTGTGTGACCTTGTCCTGGAGCTGCATTGTAACTGTGTATGTAATACAGTGAGCTTGATATTGATACCATGTTCAAGTAATGTGCATAAATGTGAATCTCTGTGCTTCCACATTTGTGATATGGAACAGTCACACACCATCTAGAGATTTTAGTCTGTCAACTGCCTTTTTTTTATTTGATATAATATTACTAATCTTGAATATTAAGAATTGTAATAGTAACTTGGCTGCACATTTACATTGTGATCCCCCTTTCTGTTCACAAAATCCCCTTCATAGAGGCCTTGATGGGAACATGTGTGCAGTCTATTGACCAATCACATTAGTGAAGCCTGAGGGACATATCTGTGTCATATTAATCGGCATGTTCATGATTGCATGATCTTCATTAAAAATGATAATACCTGCGTTGGCAAAAAAAAAACACCCTGCTATAGCCTACAACCTTGGGTCTAAACTGGCTTGGAAATGCCACAAAAAAAACACCCTAAAAACTGCTTGAGCGCCAGGGTAAACTTTGTGAATGACACGACAGACAGCACTTATCAAGTTCTCCGCATCTCCAATAGTTTAAAGGAAAAGAGCCACTCGCAAATAATATCAGGACAATGCACACAGTTTGTGCTGTTATTAAAGGCCGACTCCGACGAGTCGAACAATTAATGTGCGTTTCCAAAAATAATTGATGTAAATGACATCCTCACGAGTCATGAGAAAAATGATATCTCTCAAAAAGTACACTATCGCACTGCGTTAAAAGACTTCTCGTTTCACCTCCGCTTATAAAGCCGCGATCTAATCCTGTTTACATGAAATAAGCCTGCTCACGAGCAGGCTTCAAGCTAGCGCACCTGTTGCTATGACAGCAAGTCTAGGATGAGCTTCGAAGAACCAAACGATCCAAGATCATGCCAAATCGTCAACAATCAAATCCAGCTAACTGAGTTAGCGACGTACGAAGAACGAGCCCCAGGAGTTAGAAGTGCAGTTAATTTAAGACAAGAGTCAGAATTATAATAAATTACAGAAAATTGTTACTGAAGATAGTTTGCAGTTTCATCAGGCAGAAGTCAGCTTCAAGACTCACAAGGAGTTTGTAGGCCGCCCCACTTCCAGTTAAAAAGATCACAGCAATTATACCCTACACCAAGGTCTAAGCTACGTCATTGCTTAGATAAACAGTAATTTTCCACACATGGACTGATAGGCAGTAGCACATCTCCATAGTCTATACGACTGCCACCAGGACCCTGAGTTAGGTACGAGTGTCCTCCGAGGTCACAAGACTGTCTCCAGGCGCCATCATGTCGAAGAAAACAAGTCGGTCAATCTCCAAAAATGCCACTTGTTCCTCAACCTGTATATATAACACACACACACAGACACACAGCTTCTTCAAGGTTGGATTTGGCCAGGCTCTAACTATAAACAGGAGAGTCTTCTCACAACATCAAGATAACATGTTCTTTCTCTCAAGGAGAGGACACTTTAATCTAACAGTAAAGTAAAGACTAGCTAAGAAATGGCCACTTAAACTATTGGTTCCAATGATCCTTATATGTTTTAACACATGTTGAAGACCTTTCTCAAACAAAACGAGTCCATATTTATGGATGGCATGTGTGCGCTTGTTGTCAGTTTTGTTTGCCTTCCTTGCACGTGTCTGCATTTATCAGTTTTGCCTGGATTTACTTTTGTTTGTTTGAATAAATGTTTGCTGCATATGGATCCCACTCTCGTTCCTCTGAAACAGCCACCGTTACAATCACACTGGCAACTTCTATAACAAAGTAAAATAGCATAAGCTTAGAGAAGTCATTCAACTCATTTGATATTTAGAAGGACAAATATTGATTAATACCTTGATTATAATCACTCATTAGATATATATTGAAGCAGCAGTGGATTTCAAAATCCACCCCTTCAAACCTTTGAGTAATGTAGTACGTAAGTAATGTAGAAACATTTGTTGTCATAACTTATTGATCATATATTTTTTTACAGTGTACAGCCTAGTTGATTGTACTTAATGTAAGGCAGGAACCTTTAAAAAAAATGTATACAGTGTATAGGATATTTATTATTCTTGATCCACAACCATTTGTGATTCAAATAAGCCCACTTTTCATTATTTTACGGTAATCAGAGCACAGAACAGTAACATAAGACTGTATGAAATGGATCCAAACAGATGTTTGCTCAGAAATGAAGGAAAAGATGACCACTCTGACTGCAGTTTTAAGGAAACTGGATGCCTGGTGTAGGTGATTTGGATGACAACCTAATTTGCATATCAAACTTTGCAATAAATATTTATACTCTCATAATTCTTTCATGCTGATACTGTTTTTTTTAAGTCCAGATATTGCAAAGCTCTTTCATTATTTAGTTATAAACATTATTAATATTCAAAAGAAATATTACCATAGCAGTCAAATACCAGTTGTTCTGGTGAATAACTTGGAGGGTCACCTTTTCCAAACCTTCCTCTTCAGCTGTCTCTCCCTTTTAAGACAAGTAATGGTTTACATCTGATCTGACAAATGAGCTTTTGCAGCCTTTCTCTCATTAGCATTTCAAAAGGTGTGGTTGCCTCTCTGATCTGTGATAAAGGCTGGAGAGATTACAGAAGGGTTTTGGAGAAACGTTGTGCTGCCAACTGGTTCCAAGAAGAAATCACTTCTGACAACAGCATTGCTCTTTGAAGAGAGTTTCCAGAGAATACAGCTGTAGGAACTCTGCCTCCCCACAACCTGGTTTAATGCAGGTCAGCACACAAGAGTCATATGATGTTTTGAGTAACGTTTGAGTAAACCTATGCTGCTTGACTGAAGCTTCAATAAATGAAAGGTTGAATAACCTTCAAATGGTGTTGGAAATTCTCCTGCAATGAAATTGAAGGAGTAACCCGTTCATTAATTCGCATAATTAGATTCTCAATTATTGTGAACACAATTCTTTTCTAGCTTATACTTTTCTGGCCAACATTTGACCTTTGTATTGCACTGGTTGCAATGTTACTGTCTTCTTAAAGATTAATGGCATTTCTCATTTTTAAGGGTTAAATTGAGGGCTTGAGACGAAGAACCATATAAGTCCATATTTTCAAATTTTGAATAATAACATTTTTTTTATTTGGACTCTGAATATTATATTTTATTTTATTTTTTTACTTGAAGATAGACAACAAAAGTTTCACAATTCTAATGAGATAAGATTTTTTAGTATCAATCTTAAAAATAAAAAGTTAGAGTAATTTACATTTCTGGAATGTGGAAGAACAATATAAGTCCAGTTAATGTGGAATAACAGTATAAGTCCAATTCATCATATCACTTAAACCACTGGAGATTTGATTCCTTTATCTTAGTTTTAATACAGTAACAGAACCTTAAAGAAAATATTAAACATTTCTTTCTTTCAATTTCTTTTATTTTTTTACCAACATAAATCACAGAACAAAAACACAGACAATACAGTACGAACAATGAACAATACATAGGCCTACTTATAGTACAGAAAATAAACGTCAGTACAAACAATAAACCGTACATACAATCAACAATACATACAAACAATAAACAACAGTAATAACTGTAAACAATACATATTTACAATACAGACATACATCATCATCATTCCTTGCTATGGTTCCATATGCTAGTTTACCATTTTATAATACATTTCATAAATCACCCCATTCATTCATTTACTAAATAAATAACTATATACACTCACCGGCCACTTTATTAGGTACCCCATGCTAGTAACAGGTTGGACCCCCTTTTGCCTTCAGAACTGCCTCAATTCTTCGTGGCATAGATTCAACAAGGTGCTGGAAGCATTCCTCAGGGAGTTTGGTCCATATTGACATGATGGCATCACACAGTTGCCGCAGATTTGTCGGCTGCACATCCATGATGCGAATCTCCCGTTCCACCACATCCCAAAGATGCTCTATTGGGTTGAGATCTGGTGACTGTGGAGGCCATTTTAGTCCAGTGAACTCATTGTCATGTTCAAGAAACCAATTTGAAATGATTAGAGCTTTGTGACATGGTGGAAGTAGCCATCAGAGGATGGGTACATGGTGGCCATAAAGGGATGGACATGGTCAGAAACAATGCTCAGGTAGGCCGTGGCATTTAAACGATGCCCAATTGGCACTAAGGGGCCTAAAGTGTGCCAGGAAAACATCCCCCACACCATTACACCACCACCACCAGCCTGCACAGTGGTAACAAGGCATGATGGTTCCATGTTCTCATTCTGTTTACGCCAAATTCTGACTCTAACATCTGAATGTCTCAACAGAAATCGAGACTCATCAGACCAGGCAACATTTTTCCAGTCTTCAACTGTTCAATTTTGGTGAGCTCTTGCAAATTGTAGCCTCTTTTTCCTATTTGTAGTGGAGATGAGTGGTACCCGGTGGAGTCTTCTGCTGTTGTAGCCCATCCGCCTCAAGGTTGTGCGTGTTGTGGCTTCACAAATGCTTTGCTGCATACCTCGGTTGTAACGAGTGGTTATTTCAGTCACTGTTGCCCTTCTATCAGCTCGAACCAGTCTGGCCATTCTCCTCTGACCTCTGGCATCAACAAGGCATTTCCGCCCACAGAACTGCCGCTCACTGGATGTTTTTCTTTTTCGGACCATTCTCTGTAAACCCTAGAGATGGTTGTGCGTGAAAATCCCAGTAGATTAGCAGTTTCTGAAATGCTCAGACCAGCCCTTCTGGCACCAACAATCATGCCACGTTCAAAGTCACTCAAATCAACTTTCTTCCCCATACTGATGCTCGGTTTGAACTGCAGGAGATTGTCTTGACCATGTCTACATGCCTAAATGCACTGAGTTGCCGCCATGTGATTGGCTGCTTAGAAATTAAGTGTTAACGAGCAGTTGGTCAGGTGTACCTAATAAAGTGGCCGGTGAGTGTATTCCTATTATACAACATAATATAAGGCATACAAGATAAACTACAACTACTATTATGATTAATTTTACACAATATACACAATATACCCCACCTTACCCTGCACATGACCTACACATACCAGGCTACTCTTCGCATTCTAATGCCCCATAAAATGCTTGGGCCTCCGCTGGCATGTAGGCTAGCATTTTCATAAGATCCCGGTGCTTCTCCTTCTTGACGGGCAGAGGGTCCTCATAAGCACGAGCATACGTGGTGGAGAACAAGGGAGCTGGAGGTGGTTGATTCTTCCTCTGTTTGGTGATCAGCCAGGTCTTCCATCCCTCGTAGAGGCTGTGGCTCCCTTTTGTGTGGACACACCATGGATCAGCAGCTGAAATCATGATTCAACAAGAAATTCAATAAAGATTCTTCTTTCACGCACATATCCCCAACACTGTTAATCTCAGAAGACCTACTCTTTTGTTTTTTACCTGTCACTTTCAACCACATCATGGATGTGATTAGCAAGCCAGGTGGACGCTTTAATGTTGCATCAGGGAGCTGCCTGAAGTCCGGACATTTAATCTCAATGACTTTGAATGGATGCTGCTGCCTGGCTCCACGGATCATCTCGGCGACATCGCTGGGGGTGTGGAGTGTGGACACCTTACGCCTCTTGTCCAGCGTGGCAAAGGAACGGTCACAGGGAAGGAAGGAGTGACCAGACACCATGAGCTTCTGCTCTATCTGACTGAAGTACCCTCTAGATACGAGCAGGGCCATGAGGTTTAGGACTCGCCAGTTGTTGTTCTGCCCACAGCATCGGTCACTATAGATGACGAGCTTCCGTTCCTTTGCCTGGACTAGGGGAGCAAAAGATGTTTCTGCCCACTTCAAAAGGCAGCTTGCCACCTCGATGGAACCTCTGTGAGCGATGCCCTCATGCCAGAGGCACATTGTAGGAGGATCGTCAGTGCCCATCTCCTGGATACAGAGGTTGTAGTTGGCCAGCTGCCGTTGATAGTACACGTTGGAGTGTGTCAGGTTTGGCGTGAACACTACCCCCTGCATGTCGATACAAATGACATGGCAGTCATCATTGGCTTTGGCCCACTCTGTGTCAGCCTGCAACTGGGTGTACGCTTTTTCAGCTTTCCGGTGGTGAAGCTCACTCTCGGCTGCGATCTTCAACCTTTCTCCTTCTGTTGTAGCAGCTGTTAATTTTAAAAACAGGGCGTCACATTTCGCACAAGTGTCACTTCTTGGCTGCCCAAAACTGAGGTTCTGCTGCTTGAAGATGTCCCTATAGAGCCAGAACTTTGCAGTGGATGTTGGATTGTTTTCCTTGTACAGGCGGAACATGTGGAGCAGGTTTAAATCAGGGCTCAGGTACTCCCTCTCCACATCTCCCTTCATCCGTGAGTAGTGGTTCGGTTGGCGTGGGAAGCTCAAGATATGCTCTCTTATCCCCTCTCTCACTGCAGGATGAATGCTATGAGGCCTAAAAAATAAACACCACAACTCATGAACAAGGGAAATATAATAAACTATGCTGGTCTGTTTTGCACAATTGCATTGTTTCTGTGACCATAAATGTATAATTATAAACATTCCTCTAAACTATAGGATTTTGTTTTTCACATACAGTCATTAAAGGGATACTTCAGGATTTAGCATTAAGCTTTGTATCATTAGAAAACCGAATTCTTTTTAGTATTTTCGAATTACCATGCTTTTCTCCCTCATATCCCCCTGAGATGAGAGATTTATGTATTTTTTGTCTGGAAAAAATCCTCCGATGACGCAAAAATTGTCATTGTTTACATGCACACCTTTTGTTTCAATCTAACTGAATTTATTCCGATTTGTGAATCTGAATGTAGTGTTTACATGGATGCTGAACATGTGATTGATTGATGTGTGCGTTTTAGCATTGCAATCTGGGAGTTGTTGTCTTTCATCCCCATAAATCAAAAATACATTTTCTGGCTTTTAGAAGGCTCCATTCAAAAATAATTTCACATTTCTACTACATAAATGACCCATTTTAAATACACATTAATCTTTCCAGAGCTGAAGTATCCCTTTAAGATCCACATGTTGTAATGACACAAAGAATAATCATACATTACATTTGCATAGCACTTTATCTCTGATATCGATTTCAAAGTGCAAAAATATGTTTCCTGACTGGGCAACAACAGTGAGCTGAATCCTAACCATTACGGTATGTGCACACTGGCATTATAGGGTGGCAAGGCACCCAACGCTCTATAATGCCAGCGTCCAGTGCACCATTAAACCAGGGAATGTTGTAGGTGTGACAATGGTGCAGCTTTAAAAACTAACAGGACGAGAGCATGATGTCCTTCAAGATTTGTTTTTTTTTACTTACCTGTTCTTATGTTTTCCTCTGAAGTCCTCTAATGGAGACCTGACTTTAGCTACCTGCTCTGTTCCCTCAGACTGACTGCCTAACTTTTCTTGAATAACCTTTTCAAAGATAAGTAACTTTAAATAAATATGTTATGGACAATGTATCTAATTAAAATCATGCATGTAATAAAAAGTTAACAAACGGAAAAGGCTAGGCTATATAAAACTTGCCTGTAGGCGACTGTTGGTCAGTTGAAAGACTGACATAAATGTGAGTTTACAAACAGCAAGTCTTTGGCCTCCTTGTTGCACCTGGTACTTGAAGGTGTACTTCCTCTTAGTAATCTCAGTGTCAGGCAGAGATGCTCACGAGTCTCTGAACTAGAGTCCAAGTCAAGTCTCAAGTCTTTGAGCTAGAGTCCAAGTCAAGTCTCAAGTCTCTGAACTAGAGTCCAAGTCAAGTCTCAAGTCTCTTGTGGTTATAATAAGTGTTGCATCACGTACAGCGACCCATCCAGGCTGCTTAGAACACTTCATAGCTATATATAAGGAATTCAAAGCATGTATGTTATTATGACTCCTTTATCTATTAGCAAACAGTATCAGCTTTGATTTAGGTATATAATCAGTGTAAACAGGCTATTTCAACATGACAAAAACACCAAGAATGCTTTACTTTTAAGTTAATATCTGCATCTGTAAAAATTGAGGTTCTGAAGAAAAAGGACTCTCATGTCTGTTGCTGAATTATAATTAAAGGCCTTGGCTCCTTGTGCTGGCTCTGTGGAGCTGGAGCCATAAGACCAAATATAGAAAATGTTATAGCCTACCTCACAGCACTAAAATTGACAGTGCAAAACATCACAGTGTAGCTAAATGCAAAACACTATTGGAACCAAATGATGTGAAATACATGGTTCCTCATACGTTCATATATTTGTGGCGGCCCGCCACAATATCAACACTGGCTGACCGCCACACATTGATTTTCGATTTTTTATTTTATTTTTACTAAGCCTATTTAAAATCGTATTTGATTGCAATGCAGAGCGCCATAGCGCATTCGCGCCGCACTACCTCTCGCACGTCTCTCTCTCTCTCTCGTTCACCCATACCTCTGGCGCTCTCTCTCCCTCATGGAACACCATGAGGTGCACGCGCGCAGATACCGCATATTTTGCATTGAGCGCTTCTTTTATTTGGCCCGTCTTGTTTGAAGTTTTTAAACCCAAAGCTTACGATGAATGGCACAGCAGCGGCCGGTGCAGTCGACATGTTTGTTTGTTGTCCTCTCATGTGTGGCCACGCGCACGTAGTACGTGTTATGTAGGCAGGTTTTAGGTAACGGGTCGGAGGGAGGGGAATAACAGAGAGCTCATCAGACGTTTCCTAAAAATAAACATTGTTCACGAGTCCCGCAGCTCGAGTCCGAGTCGAGTCTGAAGTCTTTCGAGGACGAGTCTCAAGTCGAGTCTGAAGTCACTGTGTGTGCGACTTAAGTCGCACTCGAGTCCGAGTCTCAAACTCGAGTCCCCATCTCTGGTGTCAGGCCCACGTGGTCGTCTGCGACTCACCTTGTGCTAGAAGTAAAAAGACATGAAGTAAAAAGACATTTACCATAGCGTAGCAGGCTAGCCGTATTGTAGAGCTGTCAGGTTAAGGTCATTAAGTACGTGAGTAGGCTTTGGTTAGGAGAATGAATAAGCCTTTTAGGGCACCAAAGCGCTGTGGTCTGACTGTAATGCACTTGGTGGCCTACTTGATGCTGATCATCCTTCATCCATCCTCACAAAATTTAACATTTACAGTGATCAGGCACATGTGCAGTTTTAGTGAATTGAAGGCATACAGTAGTATTCAATTCACTGGTTATTTCATGGGCCTACATTGTGATGCATTGCATACTGTTGACATGATATGGTCATGAATTGCTTAAGTTAGCCTAACAGTTACCTGCTCCAAACCAGAGAGAATGATAGCCTGCTGCCTCTCATAAGAGACAGCATACAACTCTGTGAAGAGCTGGAGTTTTCTTTGTTCTGTTAGGCTTGAACACTGCCTGGGACACGTCTCCTTGCACACTGTAGCTACACTGGTCGTAAATGAGTCCACGCTTCATACTGATGTTCACAATCACATTTATTCTTCTCTGAAGTATCATGAAACACCGTGAAAACTAGAAGATAAACAAAACAGTTTCAAGCACAAAGCACCCAAAGCAACATTCACTCTTATTTCTTATACAGACCAATACAATGCGTCTTACATTTTCTTGTAATCAAAATTTAACAGTGCTTAATAAGATAGCTCGTAATTATTACCGTGTTCGCCTGGTGGACCAGCTGTAGAATAATAGACGGGAGCTTAAAAGTTCGCTGTTTTCACCCGCGACTCTCTCTTCTCACACGCGCTACTCTCAATACTTCCGGGGTTAAACATGTGACTATTAATAAACAACTTTTCTCTTCGTCATAAATTTAACAAGAGCAAGGTAAAAAAACAGCTTTAAGTCACACTATTACTCAGAATTACTATAAACAAGACACATTATAAATTGCATTACAAAATGACTTTATCGTCTTACAAGGTTGCGCATGAACAACTTCCGGTGTAGTCATGGAAACGCGTCTACACTGGACTCAGCGTCAGCTACACACACCTTGCCCTTAACAAAAACAAAGTCACATTAGCGGGTTTTTTTTATATATAGCTATAGAACACTAGAGCTATTAGCAGCTATTAAGGTTACTACCTATAATATATAACAGCTTACACAATCAATGCATTTTTTTATTATTACCTTTTATTTATTTTATTTATTAAAAAATGAGTAACAAACAAATTTAGCATACAATATTACAAAACAAAGTGTTGCATAAATTGTAACATGGGATCCAAAAGTATATCAAAATATTTTAAACACGTCAATGACTTTTTATTTATTTATTTTTTACCAATTTCAGTGAAGACATAAAGCAATTAAAGTCTAATTTTCTCAGCTTTCATTTCGACCCATTCATGACTTGATTCGCTAAACAGTCCGAGCTGTATGAACATTAGTAACGTTAGACTCCCAGTAATATGCCCCCTGACTGTAACCAGCTGCGTTACAAAGTAACTGGCTAGCCAGACATCAAACGCAGCTATAATGTTTCGATTCATTTATCCTCGGTTATAAGGAGTAGTAGCCTACAGCATTAATTTCGACCCATTCATGAATTGATCCGTTAAACAGAGTGAGCTATATGAATGAACTGTAGTAGACGACGCGCAGGAGCCTACACGCCCCTCTGACTGTAACAGTAAGTTAGATACTTTGTATACGGTTCTTTCACTCACCTCTTTCGGTGGACTTTTTCCTAGTTTTTGCTCTCCTCTCCGGTTCACATATGGTTTCCCATCATCCCTCAAAGACTTCCTTGCTCTGTCCTTCCATTCATTCATGTTCGCTCTCCTTTTTTTGCCGAGGTTTTGCCTTTTAATGTCCGCAGCGGACATGAAAGCAACCGGCGTCTCCATTTTTCGTTAGTGGACATAAACGGTTTTTCCGCGTGAGACTATTTTAAAATTTAAAATACAGAGTTTTGGTCGCGCGAACACACCCCCAAAGTGATTCTGTATACAAAGTGGCACACATACATTCAAGTCACATGGTTATCACAATTTTTGTTTTTTTGGACTTATACGGTTGTTCGTCGCATGAACACAATTAATAAATGTGGTTGTAGTAACTGTATCTCATAGACCAAAACATTTTTACTCCTCTCATATTTACAAACAAGATAATTTACTGGTTGGCCCAGATAACGACTCGGTTACTTACGTAACCTCGGTTCCCTGAGAAGAGGGAACGAGTATTGCGTAAGTAGCTTACGCTATGGGAAAACTCCTTTTCTCGAGAAATATTGAAGTCTTTATGTAAAACGCATTGCAGCTGCACAGCATACAGCAATGAGCGAGGCAGCTCGGTCATTGGCCGTGCTGCGGCAACTGCACGAACCTATGACGGGGCGACTCTGAACCCGCTTCCAATGAGCGTGCTTCGCCTCGCTCCGCTCCGCCTCGCTATCTCACCGAGGGTACGTCTGTGGTCCCTATGACCCCGCTGGTACAGTTTCTGGGAACCTGGCTTCAGCTTCCCAAACTGTCCCGCTGGGTCACCAGGACCATCAGGCTCGGCTATGCGATTCAGTTCGCACGATCTCCTCCCCGCTTCCGGGGAGTCCGCTACACTGTGGTCGGTGGCAATGCCCCTGTCATGCGTGCGGAAGTAGCAACCTTGTTGGCGAAAGGTGCGGTCGAGATTGTCCCTCCAGCCGAAGTGAAGTCCGGGGTCTACAGCCCCTACTTCATTGTACCAAAGAAATCCGGTGGGTTGCGGCCAATCCTGGACCTGCGCGTTTTGAACCGATCCCTTCACAGGCTTCCGTTCAAAATGCTCACGGCCAAATGCAATTTCGAATGTGTTCAGCCACAGGATTGGTTTACAGCGATCGACCTGAAGGACGCCTACTTTCATGTCT